TCACTCAGGTGTTGGCTTCTATGTCTTCCTTCCTCCCAAGAGGCATCAGACTTTTGGTGTTTATCCTTCCCATGATGCTCTTAATACATTTTTCTTATGCACTCGTTTCTACACAATATTTGAGTGTGTATAATTTGTATACTTTTAAACTATGTAATAATATACTATGTATATTCTTGGGCTGTTTTCTAAAATTTGAACTTTTGTGTAACTCATTCAATTCCAGTTCATTTCTTTTCATTAAGAAGTACCACACTGGAAATCACCCTTGAAGCTTAGGCAAGATCTTACTTCAATAGCAATGTAAAGCCACTGAAGGACTTCCCATAGGTTACACCAGCTGTGTAAAGGAAGCAAGAGAAACAGTGTAAGAAGATATTTTGAAGGTTCGTGACAGGGAAATGAAAGCTTGGCCACAAGAAGCATCACATATTCACAGACAAAAGAGTGCTACAGCAGTCAGGCTTGGTGATCAAAAAGAGGTGGTTATCTCTAAAGACTTCATGACGCCTGTTTAGAGAATCGGGAAGGAGCTGGCATCATGCATCAAAAGCGGAAAGAAAATCCAATCCCAGGAGTAAAGTGCATTCAGTTAACAATGGCAGAAAAATGTGGACCAGAAATAAATAAAACTCATAAGTGAAGGTAAGACAAGAACAGAACATGCTTTAATTAAACACAGAACAGGCTGGAGAGGTGGCTCACTGGTTAAGCTGCTTACTGCTCTTGCAGAGGACCCAGGTTTGGTTCCCAAAGCCCACATAGCTGCTGCCAACTGTCTCCAATTCCAGATCCAGGAAGATCCAATACAATTGTTTGGTCCCTGTAGACACTGCACACAAGTGATGCATAGGAATGCATGCAGGCAAAATCCTCATACACATAAAATAAAAATAAATCTCTTTTTTAAAAAACACAAAAGATTCCTTCCACAGTCTAACTGATCCGATTTCTCTGTTTCTGCCAAAAAGTGACAGTATATACAGCTGTATAACCAACTGGTGAAAAACAGTTGATGTCACCCTAACTGTTCTCCTAACAATAGTGTATTGACCCTCTTCATTGGAGAAGCTACTTGCTTCCTAAACATAAGAACTTTTGTGTCCCATTCCCAGGCTGGCTTTCCCCTCCCCCCCAAACCTAGAGCTGGCTATGCAGAATGTTACAGACCTGAAAGAACCATTTGATCAGACACTTCTAAAAAGTCAGGAGGAGCCCAGTATGAGTAAACCAAAGAACCATTTATTCAAGCTGGCAACAAAACTAACATTGACCTTAGGCAATAGTAGCTCCACTGATTTACTATTATTTGCTTTTCAGATTTCCATAGCTTGCTTGGTATCTGCTCATCATTTGTGACTAAATGGCATCACCCAAATGCAATATCCACAAAGGTCTATGGAGGATCTCATCCTTATAATTTAGCCTACTGTGATATGAGTAAAACGTAGGCCTGTTAAGACAGCATACCTTGAAGGCATCTTCCCTTATTAATATTTATACTTCTACTATGTGACAAAATAAAAAAAAACACAAATCTCATTCAGCAAGTGCAGAATTGAATAAAGTTCAAATCAAATAACAAAGTTATTAAAGTAACAGAAGACAACGTTATTTCATAATGTATTAAATGCTTAAATAGAGTCCAAAGCGCCTCTGGACATGTTCTCCAAGAATATAATATTGTGTTCTAAATAGCTCTCAAACCACCCTAAAGGAGAGAGAAAGACATTTCACCTGCTCTCTAGGAATAACATATAATACCAATAAAGATGTGCATATCTCACTCACCTGTGTCTATCCATTTACATGTGTTTGTGGTGCATGCGCGCGCGCGTGCGCGCGCGCACACACACACACACAAAGAATCTAAGGCATCCTCAAAGCACCAACCTACACTTCGCTACATACAGACCTCTTGTTCTGAGACACTCGGGTGGGACTGAGTGCCCTTTGCACACAGCTCTCCCAGCTCAGAAACCTGCATCAGAAGAAGAAACAGAAGTCCAGAGGGAAGTGGAGAATTTCTAAAACAGCCAGTTCTCTGTTCTTTACCAGAAATGTCACAAGAGATATCAACCTGTGCATCTGCCTCACTGGTGAGCAGCTAACATCACATGGGATCATGTGATGCCAGCATAGTTCTCTACATCCAAAACTTAACTCTTCAGCATCACCCATAAACCTGGTGGTTCCTCTGACACTCCTTGGCTTGATAAAGTGTAATGGAATAGCCAAACATCAAAAAGAAACAACAAAATCCTCCTTAATTTTCCATTTGAATTCTTTGTTTGATATTTATTCCAATCACATGCATCACCAATTCCAGGGTATATATTAGTTTAATGTTTATTTTCCTATCCATGTTTATGAATTATTAAATATTAAATGTATTAAATTCATTAAACTACTAATCATGACAGTACATAACTGTAATCCAGAAGACTGAAGCAGGAGACTATTGAATTCAAGACCAGTCTTGGCTGCATTGTAAGACCTTGATTTTTTTTAAGTCAGATGGCTAAGGAAGCCCCATTTACCATTCATACTAGTCAAAAAAGTTAACAGATAGTAAAGACTCTGGCCCCAACCTGAGATAATTCATTAATTATTTGTCCACAGATTGAGCTCTTTTGGGGGGTAGCAATGTGCCTGATTAAATAACTAAATTTACCTGATGCATGTGGCCATATGACTCTAAAAGAGTAGGCACTGAGGAATCAGTGGGGCCAGAAAAGGAAGTGAGTAGGAGGGACTTCCCACCAAGGCAACTGAAAGAGAAACAGTCCTTCTGTGGACTCCGCTGTCTGCCCCCCTTTCCTGGTGCACATGTGACTACAGTTGCTGTGTAAGTCACAGCGACTGAGGTTTGTCTTAGAATTGCTGCATCTGTTGGAAAGCAGACATCCATCTTGTTTAGGCCACTGTTGCTTTAAGTTTCTGTCACCACCATCTAACTGAACCTCTTGACAGATGGATATATTACTTCTACATGAATTGCTGGGTTTTTTAAAAAATGACATACCGCCGGGCAGTGGTGGTGCACGCCTTTAATCCCAGCACTCAGGAGGCAGAGGCAGGCGGATCTCTGTGAGTTCGAGGCCAGCCTGGGCTACCAAGTGAGTTCCAGGAAAGGCGCAAAACTACACAGAGAAACTTTGTCTCGAAAAATCAAAAAAAAAAAAAAATGACATACCAGGAGTAGAGAGGTGGTTCAGTAGTTGGGAGCGTCTTCCAAAGAACCCACATTGAGTTCCCAGCACCCACATGGCAGCTCGAAACCATCTGTAATTCCGGTTCCTGCGGACCTCTTCTGGCCTCCAAAGGCACCAGGCGTGTATGTGGCATACAGACAAACATTCAGTCAAAACATCCATACACATGAAAAGGCTTCAAAGG